TTTTTTTTTTTTGTAAATCTTGAGTGTAATTGGCCAAACACTTGTATATACGAAAGAGTTACATAGAGGGAGTGAGATACTATCTTAAAAGGTTCATGTTGTGTACAACCCTGCTTTTATAATTGTGTGAATTTATATTTAAGTTTACTGTTTTATATACCTAACTTAATTTTGGTATCCCAAAATTTCAAGGTTGATAATTTTATTTGTTATTATAAATTTCTTGGTAATGTCATGAGTCTCTTAATGTGCTTTGTTAGATAGTTGTCTAATACTTTCTCCTATTTTTATTATTTGTCACTCTAGCTTAATTGATCATTGATTAAATAAATGTCGTTTTGAATATTTTGTTCATAATTTTCTATTTTTAACCCTCCATCTAATGCACAGTGTCTTTTCATATCTCATCTCCATAGTTTCTCATAACATCCATTAAATAGGGTTAATATTAACAAGAACAAAAATTCTTAATTAGCGTGTTGCTTCTCAAAACGACAAATAATAAAAATAGGAGAGAGTATTTAACATCCTAACAAATCCGGCTTACAAAATCAAGAACGTAATAAATGAAATATTTTAAATAATTTCACACACACACACACGCGTACATATATTATGTTGTGTAATTTATGGCACTAAATCAAGATGAAATCCTTGTTTTATTTTTCATTTATCAAAATATCAGTATGAAGACTTTTATTCAAATATTCTTGAATTTAATTCATAATCCAAAAGAGCAGTTTTCATGAACAAACTAATAAGCACATATCATCTTAAAAATACTACTATTTCATATAAGATAGGTCTCACATTAAATAAAACATAAATCCTATGAAATTAGCCTGCCATTTATTTGTTTATTTAAAATAAATTTTGAATATGCCCAAGTATCATGTGACTTTTACTCGGGATGTCGTATCCCCGTCGAGCCCTAACTTTAGGCCTTTGACTTCTTTCTTTGAAAAAAAAAAAAAATCAATATGCCCAAGTATCATGCAGACATGGCCAGGTGCTGGGCCCGGGCCCGGGCCCGGCCAGCCAAGTCGACGGGCCTCAATTGTTGGGCCCATAACCGGCCCAACAATTCCTATGGGCCAGTTCAGGCGATTCGTCGAACTGCCGGGTTATAAAAAATTTTAAAAATAAAAAATAAAAATAAAAAACAACTATGACCCGTCGGAAAAATCAGAACCGGCCCGAAACCGGTCCTGGCCCAGCAGGTAAAAAAAAAAAAATAGGAGAACCTTAATCGGAACCGCATTGGCCGCGGTCCTGTTCAAAAGCCCGTCACTGTTCATGCCGGTACCGTGCCGGTTCGATCCAGGCCGGTACCGGTTCACGGGTCGGACGATGGGCCGGTTCGGCACGTGGCCATGTCTAGTATCATGTGCCTTTTACATGTTGAATGAATTGTTTGATAGACAATTTTAAAATTATATATCCATAGTTTGAAATGATATGTCATGGTGCAGATCATGACAAGATTCCTTCTCCAATTTTATATATATATATTTTTTTTAATTTCTCCACACCTGTCTAACTGTCAAACTTTATTCTACTGATCTACTTTAACTTTATAAGTAGTAATTATTATTAATAAGTAGGTCTAATTTACACAATTGATTATCCATCTATCACCATGTAAATGTTCGGCGGCAATTTGAACCTACCCTAAATTGTCACCTTTTTTATAGAGTGAGCTTTTTTTACCAGCAAATGAAAATACCGTTACATTGCTCGATTATGCTGACTTTTTTTAAACAATTAAAGGGGGATTAATTTAGGGGTGGGCACTGGCTGGGACCATCCGAAATTTGACTTGTCTCAATACCGATCCCACTTTTATGAACCGATTCGAAATCGGTCCGAGAAGAGGTACCGTCCCAAATAGGCCAGTATCGTTTTGGACCGAGACAAAACAGTTCGGGACCAAAATAAAATGGAATAAATATATAAATTAAACCAAATGATATTGATTCTATTAAAATTTAAAACAAACAACCTATGTATTTAATTATGATTTTGATTTTAAAAAACACACTGGTTCAAGTATTCCATTAGACCAAATTACCAAAGAATATTGATTTCATTATAAGTAACATACCAATTCATTGAATTTAAGTCACCCCTCACCAATATCCAGATCTAACATAAACATTGTTTTTAAAACAAAATTACTAAATGCATTGTTTAGTCTTTTTTTTTTTCCTTTTTGGGCTTGATTGTCTAGTTTTAGCTTAAACAATTGAGCTTTTGTTTTTTTATATATTATTTTAATAAATTAAAATGCTATTGTATAGATTGAATACCAAAATGACCTATCGTTAATTATGTAATCCCCCTATATATTAATACAGAACGCGCTGAGCCTACGTGGCTGTTTCTGGTACTTCGGAATCCTATGTGGCAAAATTACATGCTTCGTTATTAGGCTTGAGTAAATTTTAATTTAATTCCAAACCAAAAATAATTAGGTTCGGATTACCATAAATATGTTGATTATTTATGATCATGTTACATGTATTAATGGTATTTTAATATTATTTCTTATTATAACTATTGAATTGTTTATATATTTTAAAAGTTACTAACTTTTGTATTTTTTATCAGTTTTACATATGTAATATATCAAATTAATCTTCTTTTGATTAGTTTCGATTTAACATCCATATTGTATGTATAAAAAAAATTATATTTATTTTATCTTTATAACAATAATAAAATTATTTTTAATATTAATTAGAAAAATAAAATTATTTATCAACTAATACATTTATATTTCAAGTAGTTATATAATATAAGTTATAAAAACCAATATAATATAACACATGTAAGTCATAAGTAACACTTATCATTCTAAAATATATAGTAATATATTTTTTTTGTAAAAAAGTAAACTAAATTTAATATAGTTTTCTCATTATTTTTAAAATTTAAGAATAATTTTTTAACAAGCACCCGTGTAATACACGGGTATTGTACTAGTGAGCAGGAGAATATATTTATTTATTTCTATTGCTTTCTCCCACCTTACATTTTACTTAACGTGTCCGCCATGATCTATTGGGAGTTATATACAAATGACAAAATGACACAGAATATCGAGTGGTTCATGAATCGATGTATCAAAGTGTGTTTATTTTACCGATAAAAAAAAAGTGTGTTTATTTTATATATGCCTCGCTGTATTGTTTGTTAATAACTGTGGATAAAATTAAATATTTGTGAATAACTATAGGTAGAGTTGATGTACTAATCCGAGTATTGTATTGATGTCAGTAATGATCCACTATCCACGGTGGGCACATATTAATATGTTCACCGTGGGTTTATTGATATTGATATACCGTCTTATGTTCTGTGTGAGTGTTTATTTTAAGACATGTGTCAATGTATCATTTATGGTACCGACATATGTTCGAGTATTGATGAACTTGGTACATATGTTATGTTCGAGAAATTGATGGACCGACTTATGTTCCGAGTAAGTGTTTATTTCTAGACATCTAGCAGTACATCATTTATAAAATGAAACATTAGAATTTAGATAGAAAAGAGCTCAACTTTAATCAACATCTGAAAGACCAAGGCTCTTCACGTGTCAGACCCAACAGCGGAGCATGTGATTTTTTAGGAAGAACCATCTATTTTGGTCAAACATGGCAAAAGCTCATGTTGATGTTATATTTTTTTGGTAATATGAAGTTGTGAACACGGCAAGGGGACCAAAGATTCCCCCAACTTCAAAAACAAACGACACACATTGGAAAATCAAACAAAAGTAATACACAAAACAACCACCATATTATATATCATTAAATTTTTACACCAAAAAAAAAAAAAGAGAGGAGGATTCACAATAGGCAGAGTAAGTACATCATCCTCAGTTTCTTTAACTAATTCACAAACAACCTTTCAACCTCATAAAAGGGGGAAAAGGACATTAAGGGCTAGAGCTATTATGATCCAAGGAACACTCAATAACATATTCCTAATTGCTCTCCCCTTTGGCTTTCTCTAATTAAACAAAGGCAGAATTCTCAAAGCTCGGTTCCCCTGTGGATCTCGAAACCGGAAGGTCCCTGTACCAAAAAAAAAAAAAAAAAAGACAGAATTCTCAAAGCTTGAGACTTTTCGTTGCTTCTTTCTTTCCCAGCCACCTTCTCTCTGTCTATGGAGAATAAGGCTCATCCAACCAACAGTGACAAGTAGTGCTTTTCAGGCTAAGTTTCCAATGGGGAGGTATGAGTATCTCCTCCATTTACAATCCATGGATGCCCTGCAATTAACAAACAATAACTCATCACATTAGAAAAAAACATGTCTAAACTAAACTGTCAATTAAACAATAACTTGGCAATTAAACATCACAGGAGGCAATTAATTTTTCTTGAAAGCATATTAATGAAAAACAAGGGGGCAATTTCAACTTACTGAGGACTTGCTCTGCAGATAGCCTTCTAGAAACATCCCTGCAGATCATCTTCCTCAACAGATCCTTGGCCTCAGCCGACACGGATCGGAAAATCTTCGTCGGGAACCTCAAATTACCCCTCAGCACTGCCTCAAAAGTCTCCGCCGGACCCTCCCCGTAGAACGGCGCCACTCCCGCGAGCATTATGTACAGAATCACACCCGCGCTCCACACGTCCACCTTCTCCCCGTACTCCCTCCCCGACAGAACCTCCGGCGCCACGTAGTACGGCGTCCCCACGACCCCGATCATCCCGGAATCCCTGAAAAACTCGGCGGATCCAAAATCGGCCAGCCTCAGCCTCCCCCGGGAGTCGAACAGGATGTTGTCCGGCTTGATGTCACGATGCGCCACCCCCATCCGGTGGCAGAACGCGATGGCCGTCATCAGCTGCCGGAGCACTGCGGCGGCGTCCGACTCGCGGAACGGGGCGCCGGCGGAGATCCGATCGAACAGATCGCCGCCGTCGCAGAGGTCGGTGACGATGTGGACGTGCTCTTCGTCCTCGTAGGCGGCGCGCAGGCGGAGGATGTTGGGGCAGGCGGAGAGGAGGTGGAGGATCTTGGGCTCCGCCTCGAGGCAGCGGCGGTCGGCGGGATCGGGGGATAGGGAGGCCTTGCGGATGGATTTGCAGGCGAAAGGTTCCCCGTCGGCGGAGTAGCAGCGGTAGACGACGCCGAAACGGCCGCGGCCGAGCTCCTGGCACAGCTGGTAGTCTCGATTGAGGGCTTCACACATTATAATGGGGGGTTTTCTGGTCGACGGTGGGTGGGTTGGGGTTTATTTATAGAGAGAGTATATTTCGCTGCGGAAAAGGAATATTCCATCGGGGGTCCCGAGGGGTATAATGGTAATTTAAGTCCGGTGAAAGGGTTGCAACGGGTGTCGCAGCCGCGGGCGTGAGCGGTGACGTGTGCAAAAGCTTAAGGAGGTGGCAAATTTGGAGACTTTTTTTTGTTTTGAGTAATGCTATATGTACATAATTTTGTACATACAGGTGTACATAGACCCACTAAAATTAAAAAATTAAGTGGACCCCACTCAATGTAACATTTTTCTTTTGTTTTTACTTTTTTCTTTTATTTATTAAATTTAATTAGTATAATTAAAAAAAATTGTATTTTATTTTTATTGAAAATAATAATCAATTGTAAGATTCATGTCCTATATTATAATAATTTTTTCACTTCATAATAGATAATGGGCTAATAAAAAAAATAATTTTATTCCTTTGTAATCAGTATTGATTAAATAGTGTGATGTTTATTTATAAAGGTACACATAATATTTTTTTAGAAATGCAATATGGATGTAAAATCATCATAAAAGAACTAATTGTATTTTGAATAAAAATTTATTACATTTTAAAATATATTTATAATTTAAATTGATTATAAAATTCATAATTTTAGTATGAATAAAAAATAACTCTACCTAAACTATTATAAATAACTAGAATTCTAGATTTACAGTAAGTCGTATAAGGAGGGATCCTTCTTTTTTCTTTTTGGACAACCTATTGAATATGAGTTCATTTTAATTAATTAATTGTGTCTGTAGAGAGGGGTTCATTTTAATTAATTATTTGTCCTAATTTAATTGATTGGGTAGTTTAACGGATAAGATTGAGGAGGTAGTTATATCTTATAATGTAATGATGCATTATTGAATATTTTTATTGTTGTATATCATCTTTAAGGATAAATGTTGGAATTAATGCATCCAAATATATAAAATATTATGGGCAACACGATAACGATATACTAGTAAATAGTAATAGTAATAAAAATAATAATAATAATAATAATTTATCTTTACAAATCACAAAAACGACAACGAAATTAACCTTAAATCTTCGGAGTCAAGAACAATTTCATTCCACACAACACGCTCAATGCTCAATACGAACAACATCTTTAATCTGATTCAACTCCATGAAACGACGACCTTTGCACCGAATAAAGTGAAAATTAATAAAATATGCTAAGATATAGTGATAAATAAACGTGGGCAATTGTTGGGCCACGCCCGTCGGGTTGGCGGGCCTCAATCTCATAGCCCGTGACCGGTGCGCCGATTTATATGGCCGGTTCATAGAATCGATCCTGAACCGCCGGTTCACCGACCCACCGGATTTCGGCTGTTCCGGGCCGGTACGATAAAAATAACAACACTGTGGTCCGCCGTCTAACTCGTGGCCCGACCCGAACCGGCGGGACAAAATAAATAAATAACACTGTAGCACGCCGTCTAACCCGCAACCCGACCCGAACCGACGGGACAAAAAAATAAATAAACTATGAACCATCACCAAACCGCGACCCTAAGGGTCCGGTTCAACGAACAACCGTTAGGAGGACGGTTCATGGCCGGTTCATGGTTCGGCCTGTGACCATGTCTAGTGATAAAGATGCATTTTGTCCAAATCACATTGAAAAATGTGACATGTCCGGTCAACTCTAAGTTCAAATTCAACTAAAGTTTTCACCCAACACATGATAATCACATTATTTGCTTATGGATAATGGACTTTAGTCAATTTTTCCAAAACTCCAGATGGAAACCTTTTCCGCTCGATTAACACATGATTTTCAGTTTAAGGATATGTGAGTTCGATTGGGAACAAACGTAAAAGATGATTATTGTTCTGCAAATGTTTGGTTGGAAACAAACCTATTAATTGTAAGAAAGCAGCTAATTCATAATTTTCATTAATCTGTAAGATAAGCTCTTTGGCATGTAATCATGATGGCTTAGTACTGCTTTGAAGTCATCACATTTATTTTAATTAGCCTCGCATACATATTTTGTTTGCATCGTCTGACGTTGTTGTAAATACTGTAGTGCAGTGACATTTTGGCAAATTCTTGAAATATTAAATGTTCCATAATTAAAAATAAAAAGTAAAGAACTAAGCACACCAAAACTCGAGATGTGGAGACACTCAAAGATTCGAGAACATACAAACAAGTCACTCAAAAAGTCTATATTCACTTATCATGATTGTGCATTTATCAAATTTTTTTATAAACCACGGATTTACCCCAATAAATAAATTTCAATGTATTTAATTAAAATTACATATATGTCCGAGTGACTTACATAATTTTCGAATGAAAGTGCATCACCCTCATTTCATCATACCTTTCTATTCTTCCAGCCACCCTCACCCTCATCGTGAAGTGATTGATGGCTCCCATGAGGGATTATTGTCCGACGAGATCCGACCTCTTCGCCCTTCTCTCAGACGAAACTCGCCACCTCGTCAGCCGGAAATTCAGCTCCCCGGTGATTATAAATCAATTTTGTTGGGATATTCACGGGTTCCAATTAATAGAGAGAGAGTATGTAAATGTGAGAGAAAATGTCTAATATATTTTTGTAGCGCCCCGTTTCTTTTCAGAAAAATCATAGCATTTGCATCGCTCAATTAAGTTTAAAATTTGTTGATTATTTCTTCTTATTTGCTCGTGTTTGATTCAATTGTCGTAAGTGTTAAATGTGGATTATTTACCTAAGTGATTAATTGCTATTTGCTTAAGTGATTAATTGACTATTTGCTTAAGTGATTAATTGACTATGTGTCTAAGTGTAATTGGTTATGTGACTAAGTGATTTATTTGAGTATGTGCTTAAGTGATCTTTTTAATGGTCTAAATGCTAATTTAATTATTAACGAAGAAAAAAAGTTAGATGTCTAGGGCTACGGGTACGCCGACATTAACTCGGAATCCACCGGACGACTTCAAATCCGACCCCCCCGATAGGCGGAGTACGGGATTTCCGTCACTCAAGAGTTCTCGGCTACTCGATGCTTCTGATGGGGGTGATGCGGCGTTCTTCCAGGAGCCTCCGCCGGAGGTTGCGACGTCGGGTGCACCTAGTTTCAGAGATATGCTCCGCCGCCGCCCAACTCATGTGGAGATGATTTATGATGATGACGCTGAGGGTGAGGTGGATGATGAGGTCATTGTCGATCGTCAAGGGCCGCTACCGGACATTCGCTTTAGGGATAGCTTTTATGATCAACTTTTGCTCTCTTGGCGGCACGTTGTCGTAGTTAAGGTGATGGGCACATCGCTCTCTCATCAATTGTTGTACAACAAGTTGTGGCCGTTGTGGCCCTTTATGAGCGGTTGCGATATGATCGACTTAGAGAATGGTTATTTTCAGATTCGTTTTAATACTAAGGCGGATGCGGAGAGCGTTCTTGTAGGGGGCCCGTGGGTAGTGTCTAAACAGTACCAAAAGTTTTACTTACATGTCCAACCTTGGAGTGAGGATTTTGATGCATCTTGCAACCAGATAAAGTCTTTGGTGACATGGATTCGACTGCCAGGGATGCCAGTCCACTTGTACCACACCAAGGTGTTCAGCACGATTGGGGATATTGTTGGCAAGGTATTGAAGGTGGATCATCGAACGGCTTCCCAAGCGAGGGGTAAGTATGCACGGCTGGCGGTGACGTTGGATTTGACTAAGCCTCTATGTGCCAGCTTTTCTATTCGGGGGAAGGTCCAACGGGTGGAGTATGAAATCTTACCTAATATTTGCTTCAACTGTGGGATTTATGGACATTCGGCTCCGATTTGTCCTGAGCGCACCACGGGCGAAGGGGAGGCACCTGGGGTCGAGGTCCCGCGTAGGAGTGATCATGTCGGCAGTGAGAGTGGCACTGGGGTCGTTGGGGGGCAGACTCCCAATATTATGCCTTCATCCAACGGTGCGCGTCCAGAGTCGGCTGGTGGTGTCTATGGTCCGTGGTTGGTGGCTAAAACTAAGGGTCGTCCAGGGGGCCGGCAAAACGCTGGGCCTAAGAAAGGGGTTACCTCTTCTCCCAGGCAACATGATTCGATGAGGCATGGTTCGAGATTTGATGTGCTCGGGGTGGAGCCTTCCGAGCCCTCACCGGTTATAGATTCTGCTTCAACTGGCAGGGTGTTTGGGGTCGATAAGAGTCACACGGGTTTCTCGGCGGGGTCTACTGTCATGCGTGATAAAGGGAAAGCGGTTATGGGGCAAGCTGCTCTGGGAAGGAATAAGTCGGGGTCGAGCTCTTCACGACCTCGACCGTCAACTCAGGGGGGGTCGCCGGGTGCTCATGTAGCTCCGTGCGAGAAGATTTCAGTTACACCTGCTAGCATGGGGCAGCCGGCGGCGTTGTCGGGATCTGTGGTACTCTTTCGTACGGGCGAAGTAGTGTAGATTTTTAACACATCTTCGGTGGTGCCGGTGTCGTCCTCTCTGGATTCAACTAAGCACCAAGTGGTCTAGGTTGTGGACGACCCTCCTCCGCCGCCCTCGAGTGGCGAGGTGGAAATCCTTGATCCCAGAGATTCGACGATGGTAGTGGATGACATGCCCCGATCGTTTGTCGGGGTTAGAGGAGGACCGGTCGAGTGATGGCTTAGATGGCGAAAACGTATCCGATGGCCAGGATTTATGCATGGGGGATGGATTGGGGACGCAAGTCCCGAGTTCGTTTTGAGGGTATGGGTGTCCGTTTCTTCACCATAGTTTCCTTATGAATATAGTATCCTGGAATGTGCGGGGGGCGGCGTCTGACGACTTTAGGCGCGCCTTTTTAGATCTTAAGGCTCAGTATAATCCTGATGTTTTTGATTTGTTCGAACCACGCATTAGTGGTCTGGGGGCGGATCGGTTTATTCGTCACAGTGGTTATGATCGTTCTTTCCGGGTCGAGGCTAGTGGCTTTTCTGGAGGTATCTGGGTCCTAT